CTCCAACTCTCCGATGTCCAGTTCCGATGGCTACAAATCCTGTGCTTCCTATTTCTCCAGTCCTCCCATCATTCAACCTGCCACCTCCAATGATCCCGACTCCCAAACGACCGGCTCATCCACTACCATCACTGGATCTGAACCTTCCAGCCCCATGTGCAGTAAAGTCGTAAAACCTGTATTAGAAGAGCCCTTTAACTTTTTATTTGTACAATTAATCATTCTTGCAAAATCAGGGCCACTCCAAATTTAAAAATTTTGAAATTTCAGAAATTTTTTCAATTTTTTTTGCGAAAGAACTATTTTTTATGGACAACACTATCTTGAAAACTTGTCTTCTTGTCAAAAAATTCTCCTTTTTTTTCTGTTAACCCCAAAAATAATTTTGAAAGACAGAAAAATTTTTCCGAAAATCCGGGCCGAGACGGGCTGAGCCCTGAAAATTCTGAAAAAAGCCCGGCCCGGCCCGGCCCGTTGCAAGTATGCAATTAATGACTTCGAGAATAGTGAGAGAAAAAAGGAAAATAAACTGTTTCCGAACGGAAAAATAAATTCTAGTAAGAAAATGTGTAGAAAATGAGATATTGTTAAAAGGAACATAAAATGAATATTAAAAAAATAAAATTATAAGGAGAGTAAGATAATACATACTGCATAAAAACATAGGATAGAGAACACCCAAGTGCACTCCGCCCTCCTTACCCTCTCTCCGATGGTCCCACTGAAAATTTCGGAAAGATCTGAAGGCAGGAGGTGCGAAAAGAGCTGAAGTCGTGGTGAAGATTAGTTTAGTATGGTAATAAATAACACTAAACAAACAAATGCAGTCTACCAACGTCAGATTCTTGAACGATACAATGGGACATCACCCACCTGTTTGTGGGGGTACAGATCGTAAAACATGTAATAGAAGGGGACACTAACTTTGAGCCAATTTTTCTCAATTCATTTGGAAAATATCAACAAGTTGTCAACTGATAAATTGTTTGTCATAATATCAGAAGTGCTTTGGCAGTTGACCTTGATATTTTCAACAGAAATTGAGATAAATGGGTTCAAAGTTGACAATGTGGAGAACCTTAATTATATTATTACAGTAATCTAATTTTGCGTTAGAGCGCATTAAAAAAAATATAAAGTGATTTTTGAATTTGATACAAAAAAAATGAATTCGTTCCATGGAAAAAAGTTAGGAAAAAAGTAGGCGATTGCTAATAACTTTTTCAGATTTTTCAGTCTCTAGATTTTTAAATTCAAACAGACGTTTGGCATTTATTGATGAAAAGTTTAGACATGAATCTCTCGAAGAATGTTAAAATAGAAAAAAGAGTTTTGTAGCTTCAAATGGGGTCAGCTTGTCAAATACGAGTCAAATCATCCCCAATAAACACCATATTTGCTATAATTAACATTTAAAAGAAGCAGAAGAAGCAATTAAGATTGAGAAAGTTAACAATGGTATTTATTTATAAGAAAAATCATATATTTTGTTTGCTCTGGAAACTTAAAATAATTTTATTTCAAAAAGGGCATTATCTCAGGCGTCACCTACAACTACTGGTGGGAAGGTGGCTTCAGGACGAAAGTTGATCCATAGTGAAGATTTATATAACAAGTTTTCAAATTTTAATTAATTTTGAATTTTTTATTCATTTTGGAAAACTGAAACCAACGTGAGAAAGTCAGAACATAAAACATTGAAACCAAAAAGACCGAATTTTATAAACTTTGGAATTCGGTGATATTCTTTTTATTCAAAAAATGAGCACATTATACGGACAACCTAAAAAAGGGCCATAGAAAAGTCGAAAAATAACATTAAACTTGGAAAAAATGAGACAGAATAATTTAACTTTCAAATTCTTATATGACATCACAAGCAGGTAAGAAAAGGAGGAGAAAGATCATCCATCCACCCCATAAAAGTGGGCGGAGCCAAAAACCGATTGCTCTCGGAGCAGCACACCAATCATATGTAAATGCTACACAGAGAGAGGAATGAGCCTCTCTATTTTATGGTCTACCTGACCACATTAATCTGTTCAATTAAAGAATTATGCATTGGGCTCTTTTGGGGGCCCAGGTAATGAGAATTAAAGAATCGCAGGTTTGAAAGAAAGAGAAGAAGGACAGATGGGAGGAAATGGAAAAAAAGGGAGCTCCAAGAAAATGATTAGGTAGGAGAAGAAGAAATTTAACGATTTCAAAAGAATTGCGAAATAAAAAGCTTTCATTTCTAGAATATTTAAAAGTCATCACTAATTTAGGAGTTATTTATCAGTGAAAACCCATGGGACCTAATAATCAGACCAATGAAAAGTACCTTTAAACTCCCCTTAACCTAGACCTAGTCTGAAGATTTCGAAAGTCCACTAAGGATTAGTACTACCTGACACATTTCACTATTCTGATCACACTGAGCCTACACCCCATAAATCTCCCCTCTTTGTATCCAACATCCAATTTCCCGTTTTGTCGGGATTAAGCACATTCGAAGAATTTGGATATAAAAAGTGTGATTACTTTTAGTGCTAGGTGGTGTTGGAGTAAAAGACACATTTTTTTCTGATCAGCCAGAAATTAACCTAGAAGCAACTACTGTAGCTCAATTATCTCGGTTCATATTAGAGATATCCAAAATGTGTCAATTGAGAAAATGTTTAGCATAATATTATCAATATTTATGTAGTTTGTAGATTTTTTATATCACTGATAGAGACAAAGATAATTGAGCAAAGTTCAAATAAACGATAGTGTGTTAGTGGAGCATATACATACATCTTACAATTTCGAGCTCAATTATCTCTGTTTCTATACGAAATATCACAAATTTATCAACTGATGAAACGTTTATTATTTTATCACCAATAATTTTGTAGTCTACAGATTTTTGATATCTCTCATAGAAATTGAGATAATTGAGCTCAAAGTTCAAGAATAGGAGTGGCGCCTTTCCATCCTACGCTTGCTCTTTGGGCTCACTTATCTCAGCTCTGTGACATATATTGGGACATGGTCAACTAATAAAATGGTTGTGATAATATGATAAACATTTTATTAGTGTATAAACTTTCGATATCTCTTATAGAAACTGAAATAATTGAGCTCAAAGTGTAAGGTATAAGGTAAGTAAGTGCGAGGTGAGGATATAAAGCTAATAAATGGTAATCAGAGGCTAGGTGTTTTACCATAACATAAAAAATCGATATAGGAACGTTTCTGAAAATGATATCTTGCGCTGCACAGACTGCAAGGCAACCCCAACGCAACCATGATGAACTTGGCGCGCTGCCAACTTTCTTCTTTCTTGCGCAAGATACATGCAGTGGCAGCTGGTCACTATAACTTTGATCCTCCTGTTCCCCTATTCTCGTATTACCGACACCAAACAGTAACAGACCATGTAATACAATACTCGGTGAGTACTAACACCTTTTATCAAAGATGTGACAGATAATCGGGGTCAAAGTGAAACATGGTTTATTAGTTGGTAATCCAATCCTCTGAACCCAGATGGGCTGCGCAGTCAATAAACCGAACACCCATGCAACAGAAAAAACGACGCAACAGCTGCCACACCTCGTGTCCGCGCCAATTCGTAACCCCTCGTTGACCATCGTGGTCATAACATCTGCGTCTCTATATCTCTCACGATATACCCACAGTTAGCACTTGGTACAGGCATGAAATGGAAACTCTGCGTCTCCGCTAAGACATATTGTCTCTCGCAAGAAGAGCAAAATGAAATACATCGAGTCAGAGAGGTAATATAGTGGATGGAGGACGGGACGACGCACATTTATTATAATCCTGGCTGGTTCAGGTACAAACTTTGGGGTAAGACTCTCACCGTGAGGGAGAATGGGTGTGAAGAGAATCAGAGAAACGTAAGATCGGAGTTATGTCACGTCTGAGATTCTAGAAAATGTAAGCTACAAAAATATGTAGAATATAATTTCCCGCATTTTATGAGGTAATGACTCTCGAACGCGGGAGATAGTAAGCGAGTGATTCATGTTAGCATTACAGTGATGGAGTGAAAAGGTTGACCTCCAATATCTCAATTTCTGTAACAGATATAAAAAATCAATCAACTGATAAAATGTTTATCATAATATCACAAACATTTTATCAATTTACAAAATCTTGAAATCTCTTATCGGAACCGATAATTGATCTTAAAGTGCAAACATAGGGGGAGTTCTATTAGAGCATGAACATCTTGAACATTGAGCACAACTATCTTGATTCTTATGAGAGTTACCAAAAATCTGTTAACTGAAAAATGTGTAAAATTTTATGATAATACTTTTATCAGCTGGCAAAATCCTGATAATTTTGATGATAATCGAGACAATTGTGCTCAAAGTGCAAGTTGGAGAAAATACGATATATGGCTCTGCAATTTTGTACAGAGTGCAATTTCATTGTTTCTTAAAACATATGACAAATTTAGGTAGCTGACAGTATTCTCCAAATTTCATATTACGTTTTTCTCAAAAAAATCTCGAAGAGATTTCACTTTTTAGAACCGTTCTAGTGACTTTTCAACCGCGTAGCCTTGAAAAATCACATTGCAACATGGTTCAGAAACAGGTACAGATAACTTCTTGTCACTCCGTTTTCAAGTATTATAGTTGAAAAATTTGGAAACATTGTCTTTATAGCGAAGAAGAAACCTTTAAAAAAATGGGCATCTATAAATAATATGAAGAGAAGGTGCTGGTGGAAGGACAGTGGAAAAAAGAGAAAAGAGGGAGGAGAATGAGGGGACGGCGGAGCGGGCGACGATTGAAACACGGAGGCTTAGATGAGGGAGAAAAAAATGAGACGGGCGGGCGCAAGAAGAAGAAGAACATTGGTAGGAGGGACACACTTAGTGTGATGGATCTGTGGAGCTGGGGAACTTTCCATTGCACTAAAGTTCCAAATTTGTTGAAAAAGGGTCTGATTTTATTTTTGGCTAACCTCTCATAGAAGTGCCCCTGACTTTGAGCGAGTTAATCTCGTTTTCTGTGAGTACTATAAAAACATGTTCAATTAACACAATGTTCTCCATATTCTGATAAATACTTTATCAGTTTACACAATGTTGATATCTCTTTCAGGAGCCGAGATAAATTGGCTCAAAATCAAGGGTTCCTCCTATTAGGGTGCTCACGCTAATTGAGGGTAAAGTTAAGAAATGTTTGGATTAGAGGTTCTAGAATATTTCAATAATGTGTCGAAACATGTTTTTCATCGCCTCGGTACCACTCAATGAAACAATAATTAGAGCCACTCAGCACTCAAAACATACTATGTCTATCGTGACAGCTGACACTCCAAGGTCAGTAGGGAAAAGGTTCTTCTCAGAAATTTTTTTCGACTCTCCCCCTGCAGATGTTTGTTTGTCTCTTTCAACAATTTCAAATTTTAAATTCAAAACTAGCCAATAAGAATGAGCAATGTTATTACTAATGGGATACTGTAGCACGAGAATTTGAATGATTCACTAATTGTAAGCAAACATCGTAAATATAGAGCTCCACCCCTTGCACTTTTAACTTAGTCTTGGTTACTGTAAAAGGTATCAAAAAGTGGTCGACTGATAAAATGTTTGTCATAATATCCCCAATATTTGATTAGCTTACAAAGTATTGATAGCTTTGATAGAAGTCGAGATAATTGAGATTAAAGGAGCGGCATCTTTTGAGAGCATATAGATTGGCTTTTTAGAAATTCACGACCATTATTGAGGTTTGAAGCAATGTCTGAAAATCAGATTTAAGATTTAAAGCAACACTTTTTGGTTTGGTTCTTTCTTAATGAAACTTTGCAGAGAAGAGACAACATTCAAACAAAAGGTTAAAGTGTCAAGTGACAAAATTTAACCTAAAATATCTCGATCCCTGTTTGAGATACAGAAAAATTGTCGATTAATAAATGTTTGCCATAATATCAGCAATATGTTATCAGTTGGCAAAATTTTGATACCTCCCAAAGTAACAAAGATGTTCAAGGTATAAAAGTCATTACTTGATGGAGACTTCATTTGATGCTTCTGTTTTCGGAACTGTTATCAAAAGATCAAATATGTGTGATTCATTTATTCTAGCCTGAAAAACAATTTCGAAATCCTAAGGTCAGTTGACCAATCCATTTGGGATTCGAAGTTACGAATCACATTCTCCAAAATATTTGAAAAGTATAGTAATCAAAACAAGAGAGAAAGAATGAACTAGAGAAACTGATTTCTTTTTTTTAAGAACTATGTCCCCCGGCACTTTTCTTGTTGTCAAGATTAGCCCTCTTTTTTTCCTTTTTGCTTTCTTATTTGCAAAAAACCCCACATCTAAAGAATTCGGTGTTACTTGGATGAGGGAGATGGGGGAGAGGGCCCGAGAAATAGCAAGCCTAATGATTCATGAATATAAAAACTGAAGATGGTACATAAAACAATATTCAAATTCATCCTAAGACACAATTTTTTGAATTTCTTTTGGCGCCAGAATTTGTGTAAACAAAAGGGTGCAGAGGACAAAAAAGTATGTTTTGAGAGGAAGAATTTTTTTTCGGTGACATTTCGTGTCTAGACAAAAAACATGGGAATACAAACATACCTAATTGGCAATATTTGAAAAATTTTGAAAGTGAAAGTGTTTTTTTCTAGAAGGATACGATAGGACTCTCAAATTCCGGGGAAAAGCATTAACCGGGGGAAAGT